AATGAGATACTGGAACTTTGTACCAAAGGTAAAAATGGCAAAATATATTTTAAAGAAAATGAAAAAACCACTTTTCGTCAACTACACTTGAACCAGAGATATTTTTACCTTTTTAGGAACTTATTTCACCATTGATTTCTTCAAGCATATATCAATATTCAAAGGTAAAATGGCAAAATAAATTAAATGTTTCCCTTTCAATATTCTCCCTTCATCTCCCAAAGAGCAGATTCTTTCTGAGGTATAGTTGTACATAAACCAGCCATGCTTAGCTATCTCACCCAGCTGAGTCCAGGCAGTGAGTGTTATCAGGGTATTCACAAGATTAGTTTGGATGAAGAAGGCTATTCACCCAATTGGATCTCATCTTCATCTAACCAGAACATGACTCTACCATCATCCATCACAGCATCAAGCTGTTTCTTAAATCTCTTTAAATTTAATTCCTTGTGTCCTAGCCTGAACTATCCTCCCTGACAACCCATTTCATTCATTAATTATCCTCCGGTAAAGAAAATCTTTCTGGTATTTGAACTGAAATTGCCCTTTGCAACTCTAAACCCATGTCCTCATCTTCTACTGTCTTGGTGATTCCTAAAGGAAGCCATAAACATACTGGTTTTACCTTTTAAATCCCATTTAAAATATTATACACCTCTGTCCTCTCTGAAAAGTCTTGTCTCAAGACTAAGAGCCCTAGCTTATTTAATCATTGCTCATAGATTATTCCTCTAACATTGGGAATCATCCTCATTCCTTTCCTCTGCACTGTTTCTCAGGCCTGGACACTGCCCTTATGTCATGGCCAATCATGGAGGAAACCACAAGTAAACTGAGAAATAGAGAGTAGGCTTTTTGAGGATTTTTCTCAAACTGAGTATGAATGCCCTTGAGAAGTAAGGCTGGCAAGTCCTTTGACAACATGATTCATAGCATATGTTTCTTGAACAAATTTGCTGTATTACCATGCATTCAGTAGCCAACTATACATCTGCCTTTACATTTTAAGGCAAAGCAGAAATCCAAGGAGAAATTCTAAATTGACCTTCACTTTTAACAAATATTCAAAATGTAGTAAAATGACTAAAATTTTGATAGCAATTACATTGACATTCAGACAAATTCATAGTAATAATTGGCAGGTGAGCTAGACAAGTGATGTTTGTTTGAATTGTGTCCATTATCAGTGGCAAAAGATTACCTTATGCAAGTCACCATGTTATAACCTAGGTAGAACCTACACAAGGCAGCAATGCAACATGTAGGTGCTATATACCATCATACCAATACAACGCAACCAGTTCAACATTGCATGCTTCATGATTGTTCCTGTGATCCTAATAAATCATCTGACCATCACAGTACAGGGGCTAGCAAGTCACTGCAGTGACTACCCCTCAGAAACTTAAACTGTGAACTGAGTGTTTGTAGCTAATGTTTCCAAGAACATATTCCCACATGTGAGCAGAGAAACAAGTCGGAACTGGTGTCCACAGAGCAGTAACCAGCAAACCACTATCTTATGCAATGTTGGCTGTAGCCATAGGGGAAGCCATGAACGATGAGGAAGAGCCAGGTACCAGCAATTGCCATAATGCTTTAGCATACTTGGAGCAAGTTTCAGTGGAGGATACAGTGGAAATTAAAAAGAATACAAATGATTAATTATTCCCAGACAGCATCACACAACTACTTCCAGATCATATGTAAAACATTCTTCTCTCAAGTAAATCACAAAGGAGATTCATTTCAACAGAGGATAGATAAGGAGCCACTAAAGCCCTGATATATTTATAAACATTACATCTCACCATTTTTCTATGATGAACTGAGCAATTCAGTGTTTCAGTGAGATAGCAATGTTGCATGTTTGTTGGAGCATGGCTTCATTCGTGATACAAACATTCACAAATAGCTGTGCCTTTGCATGCATTGTGCAAAAGTTTTAGCTCATGTGGCTACTGTATATTCTTTGAATGTGTGAATATTTTGATGTAATAAAATTTGAAAACCTGGGTACTGTTTTATCCCATACTACCTTGTATCTTTGAACAACTGTTTGACTGTATTGTGTTGTTGATAATTACCAATTATAAATGTAGGAGTGATCTGAGCTAACTGAGCCTCAACTTTTGTTGGATGTTTCACGATGAATCACTGCTGAAATAAATCATGCAATTTACAGCCAGATATCCAATACATACATAGATTCAGTAGAGGCCAGTTATTGATCAACAACAACAACAGCAACAAAATTACAATTATAGAGCGCCTTTCATGTTGGGAGGAGGTCCCAAGGTGCTGGTCAGTCAGGGGTCAGGATCCGAGCTTGGGGGAGGGAGAGAGGTGAGGGAAGGCAGAGAGATGGGAGGGCGACTGAAAGCACGATCGAACAGGAGGGTCTTGAGACCGGCCTCGAAGGAGACAAGGGAGGAAGCGAGGCAAAGGGACTGTGGGATGGAGTTCCAGAGTGTGGGGGCAGAGAGGCTGAAAGCCCGGCCACCGATGGTAGGGCTGGTCAGGAGGGCAACATGGAGTAGGCAGGAGCCCGCTGAATGGAGGGAGCGGGCAGGTTGGTAGGGAGTCAGCAGTTCAGAGAGGTAGGAGGGGTTTAGGCCATGGATGGTCGTGCAAGTGAGGATGAGGATCTTGAATTCGATCCTCTGAGGGATGGGGAGCCAGTGGAGTCGGGCAAGGGTGGGAGTGATGGGGACACTGAGCTTGGTGCATGAGAGTACATGAGCTGCAGAGTTTTGGATGATCTGTAGCTTGTGAAGGGAAGAGTTGGGAAGGCCGATGAGGAGGGAGTTTCCATAATCGAACCTTGATGTGACGAATGTGTGGGTGAGTGTTTTGGCAGCCTGAGGGGTGAGGCAGTGGCGGAGTCTGGCAATGTTGTGGAGGTGGTGGTAGGCACGGATTTGGGGGAGCAAGGACAGTTCAGGGTCAAACAAGACAGCCAGGTTCCTGACTGGCTTAGTAAGGTTGAGTGTGCAGCCGTGGAGGCTGATGCTGCCAGCGCCCGAGGTGCAGAAGTGCTGGCGCAAGCCAATCAGCAGGGCCTCGGATTTGCTGACGTTCAGTTGGAGAAAGTTGTCCCTCGTCCAGGACTTGATGTCTGACAGGCAATCGTTCAGGATGCCAGAAGACCTGGAGTTGAGGGTGGAGGCAGAGAGATAGAGTTGGGTGTCATCTGCATACATGTGGAAATTTACCCCATGTCTGCGGATGAATGTCACCAAGGGGGAACATGTAGAGGGTGAAGAGGAGGGGACTGAGGACACAGCCCTGAGGAAGGCCGCACGAGACGGTGCGGGGCCTGGAGGAAAAGCCGTTTGCAGAGACAAAGCGGAGGCCATGTGAAAAGTAGTACCTGAACCAGTCAAGAGCAGAACCTTGAAGGTTGAGTTGGGAAGAGAGGCAGTGGAGGAGGATTGAGTGGTCCACAGTATCAAAGGCGGTGGAGAGGCTGAGGAGGATGAGGAGGCAGAGGGAGCCCTGGTCACACATGGTCAGAATGTCATTTGTGACCTTGAGCAGAACAGTTTCCGTGCTGTAGGCAGTATAGAAACCTGATTGGAGGGGCTCATGGAGGGAGTCGGAGGAGAGGAAAGAGCGAAGCTGGGAGGTGATGGCCCTCTCAAGGACCATAGACAGAAAAGGGAGGTGGGAGATGGGCCAGTAGCTGGATAGCTGTTTTGGGTCAATGGAAGGTTTCTTCAAGTTGGTGGTGATAGTGGCTGTTTTGAGCGGGGTAGGAACAGTGCCAGATGACAGGGAGAGTTGATGTTGTCGACGAATAGTGGGGCTAGGAGGGGGAGCTGGGATTTAGAGAGAGGGGTGGGGATGGGGGCCAGGGAGCAGGTGGTGAGCTTCATGGAGGATATGGTGGTGATGACAGAGGAGGGGGTGACAGGTTCAAAGGTGTGGAAGAAGGGATGGGTAGTGGTCAGAGTGTGGGGTGGGGTAGGGAGGGGGTGGAAGTTGGGAGGGCAGTGGCAGCTGAGTGCATTTCCTCGATTTTGGACTGGAGGAAGTTTAGCATTTCCTCGCAGTGGGAGTCGGAGTAAAGAATCTGCGAGGTATGGCAGGGAGGGCGGAGGAGCCGGTTGGTGGTGGAGAATAGGAGCCTGGAGTTGCCCTTCACCTCCAGGATTAACCTGAGTAGAAGGATGATTTGGCCGAGGCGAGAGCAGAGTGGTAAGTTTTGATGTGGTCCAGCCAGATGTGCCGGTCGACCGTTAGGCCGGATTTGAGCCCAGTCATTCATTCAGCACCTGGCCCTTGAGCGAGTGGAGGTGGCTAGTGAACCAGGGTGAAGATCGGGAATAGGAGGCATTTGTCTGTGTGGCTCACTTTCACCCTATACAAGATTTACTAACTAAGCTGTTTAAAGGTATATGGGGTGTTTGTAAGACATTGCTGTGCTAACTGCCATTCTAGTTTTGTGACAACAATTGCATATTTCATTACCAAATTTAACAGAAAATTCACTGAAACAAACTGTGACTCCAAACAGTTGGCAACGTCGGCACTTTCCAACCTTTTATTTTAAGCCTTCCTTGTTCCAGAACATTGTCAGTCAGGTATTACCATTATTCAAAGCTGGGATGAATCTCTTTAAATAAGGAATGGATTGTGTTTACCACAATTTTGACCCCATAGTAAAATAAGAGCAGAGCCTGCTCTTTTTTTTAGATAATGGCAGATTTTTAAACCCTGTCTTGTTTCCAAATTCCTTAAGAACCATACTTCTCGATCAGCTCTCTTTCCGTCTTTTAAACATCCCAATCAGTTCTACACCTATCACCCTCTGGGGCAGTGCATTCCAGATTCTCACTACCCTCAGTGTGAAGGAATGTTTCCTAATCTCACTTCTAACCTGCAAAATTATAAAACTATGTTCGCAGTCAGAAATTCTATTAATACTGCAAGAAAACATTTCGCAAACATTATTTGTTTCAAACATTGGTTTTACTCTGTTGGTGTCAGACACTGACCTTGGATTTCGGTGGTGCTTGAATGTACCATTTACAATCGACTGCCTCGATGGAGTTAGCCTTTCCTTCCTGCACGATTTGCAGTGATTCAATGATCCCCTCAGGTCCTCCCATTTCAAACTCACACACTGAGTAAGAAAATAAATCAAAGTGGAAATCACATGGCTTAATCGGACTGATCAAAAGAGTCTTGTCTATGTAAATGACTGTCTAATGTGTTGTGAAATATATAGATACTGACCTGGCAATGGTTTCAGAACACCAAGATGTGCAAATTCAGGATCTTAAAAGATAAAATAAATAAGTTTATAATAGAGATGGCAGCAACGTTACCTTTCAGATCATTTTTACAAAATAAATTGCTGCTAAGATAATCTTCTGAAACATGAAAGCTACCATTTGTGCTCACCATACCCATGTATCCATTTGTTAGATGGTGTTGCACATATATTGGATTTAAATACTGAAGCAATGATTAAAAGGAAAAATCTCAAGGAACAATTTCACTGCATGATTAAAGAACAAGTTGTCATTTTGAGCCCAGGCTGCCACTGTTTAATATGTAGCTTATTTGCATGGAAAATAATGAAGTAAACCGCAATTGTCTAACAAGTCACCACTGTCTTTGAATTTCATTGCCAAATAACTTAGTAGCTTGGGTTGCAAATAAACATTTAAGCAAAACAATAATTCCGCAAAGCATTTGGCTATGGTTATAGAAAGACTGAGTTTTATAACAACAGTAAGACTGAGAATCACATGACATCCTCCTCAAGCTGTTATGTCTCAAGCTTTTTAGTAGCTTGTTTTAGAAGATGGTCACATCACAATACTTAACACTGATATTGGAAAACTGTAAAGAATCTCAAAAGGTCTGCAACTACTGTCTGTTCAGAATGAATAGAGAAATAGAAAATATGGCTGCCTGATGTGTCGTGAAATATATATATATATATATATATATATATATTACCGTGGCAAATAGATGCTATTCCTGAATAATCAATTTAATTGCAATTCAAACAGTTACATCTTAGATCATCACAGTAACCCAGATTCTTTGTGATGCATATTACTGACGTGTTTATAATTTCATTTATCTCAATTTCTGCTCACATTTTTAGATGCGAATACTCATAGGTAGTTCCATTGCTCCCCACTTCCTGTGCCTGGCGGATATTTATCTCCATGCTGCAGGATGGGGGTTGTGAGATATATAGCACTGTTCTTTCTCCTCCTAATATCCCATGCATGGATGGAAACATGCAGGGAAGTACAGCATGTTTTACAGTGACAATTAACTGCAACTCAATTCAACTCACCAATTGAATGCCTGCAGCAAACTCTATTCCTACTGACTCAGCTTTCCTATGTATAGCAGACCCAGGAAGCTCAGTTGTTTCAGACATAAGACCAAAAGGTTTTAGGTTTCAATTCTAGTGAATCCACTCAGCTCTTCTGAGTTCAATTAATATTTCCTTGAGAGGAGGAGGATTTATTGTGATGGTTCCCTTCAAATCCCTTGCTTTGAACTAGCTCTAAGACACACCAGACTTGCTCCGAGGCATATTGGCTGATCATTGACTGACAGATTTTAGGTATTACATTTTACCCTCTGTTACAAATTATAACTGGCATTAATTTTTTTTTGTACAATTTACTAAGCTGAGTTTGCATAAATCCTAAAGCCTGGCCTAACTTTGGCTCTGAAACTGTTTCCAACCATTGTCAAGCTTCAGCAATTTCACAGTTCCACCCGTGGCTCCTCTGAAGGAGGCTTCAGTATCACACAGTCAGCTGCCTGCTCACCGGGAGGAAAAACTGGTCACCAGTGAGAATCAAGGGAGGTATCACATTCAATGAGTTGAGTGTAAAGGTGGGCATTAATGTTCTGGGCAGGAAAGACACCAATCTTTTTTTGCAGAGAGGTGACAATTCAGATTGACAGTGGGGTTCAACTTGTGAGATTTTCTGATCTCTGGAGTTTCACCTTATGGATGTGGTAATAGACTGATAGCTAGCAGAATACTGTCTTAAGGAAATAAAAATATCAGAGTAAAACTGGTACTCTGGTAACGAAGAACTGGAAATCCAGGATGTAAATCTAGTATATGAAAGTTAGTGTCTTGGAGCGGTATGAGGATGTGGCAGGGCAGTAGGAATGAAAGTACAGCATGCTTTGAGAGCTGGTACAGACTCAATAGGCCAAATGGCCTCCTTCTGCCCTGTGAAATTATATGATTCTATGATATGGCTGCTCCTGAGTACAACCATTGTGAATAATATGCGGGAGGGCACCTTTTACACACATTCAGACTAGTCAATGATTAACGGTTAAAACTTACATGTTTTGTACCATAGCGTGGTGGTTAGCTCACTCACCTTGCAAGTGAGAGGACGCGGCAGGGTGAAATCTTACACATGTTTCCATACTCCACATGCCTATGTTTATCTAGCAGTTAGTATAAACCTGGTTGTTAGTTCATTGGCAGATCACTTTCTGGGGGTAGTAATTTCTCCCCCCCAAAATATGATCATTCAATCCCCGACTGTTTGTGGGATCATTGCTGTGTACAATTGCCTGGCACATTTCGCCCACAAAATACAGAGTCAATTCACTTTCCAAAATATTCTGTGATGCCCTTTGAGAATCCTCAATGACATGATAAGAAGCTATATCAAATGCAAGGATTATTATTATTAATACTATAAGTTGCACTTCCAGATAATGTTCATCAACAAAGGTAAGATGGGAGAGGTTAGCTTTAATCAGAATCTAAAATATCTTTCTATTAACCGAGCTACGAGATACAGCTCAACTAAATCAGAAAGCAAAATTTAAGCCCTACCATTGATGTTAGTGATGTGGTGAGTAGTGTTTCAGTACTGCTTCATGTGACGCTGGTATATCTACAATTGAGTTGGACTCTTATTGCTTGGAAACACCAATGTCAGTTGATGTAGGAACAAGGATGAACTCAACTTTATTTCTTTGTCTCCAGAATCACTACTGCCCTGACGGATTGCCTATCAGACATCGGGTTCTGGATGAGAACCAACTTTCTCCAGTAGAATGTCAACAAGTGAAACCCTTCTGCTTGGTTCCGATCAGCGCCTTTACACCTCAGGCACTGACAACATCACCATTCAATGATTCACTCTACACCTTACCGAGCCAATATGGAACCTTGATGTCTTGTTTGACACTCAAAACATTGACTGTTCAGTACCTTAGGACATGCTCTTGATGTGAAATGAGCTATCGAAATGCAATTTGGTGTCTGTTGTTTTTGATAGTGATTTTGGACTGACTTCAGACCTGATCATTGTGATGAACTCAGGGCGGAGGGTTCACAACCTGACTGCTCTTTAAACCCCACCATGACCCGTTCTGCATTCCCCCACTTCTCCCTTCAGGCCATTGAGATGTTGAGACCCTCATCCATGCTTTCATCACATCTAGGCTTGATTATGCTAACTGCCTGCTAGTGGGACTTCCCAACTCTTCCTTCCACAAGCTACAGACTTCTCAGAACTCTGTATCTTGTGTCCTCTCCTGTATCAAACTCCTTAAGATGATCATCCACTCCCAGCTTCATTAGCTCCCCATCCCCCAGAGGATCAAGTTTAAGATCCTTGTCTTCACTTTTAAAGCCCTCCACGGTCCTGCCACTCCCTACTTCTGTTACCTTACCAACCTCCACTCACTGGCTTGCTCCATAATCCCCGCCCTGCCTGTCCCATCATCAGCGGTCGTGCCTTCAACCACTCTACCCCCACCCACCCTTTGGAATTTTATCCCACAGTCCCTTTACCTCGTTCCCTCCCTTGCCTTCTTCAAGGTGTGTCTTAAGACCCTCCTAGTCAACCGTGCCTTCAGTCACCATCCTACCCCTACTCTCCATTACCTCCACCCATCATGCTTCCAACCCCCAGCTCTGGTGCAAACCCTTGACAGTCCAGCACCTTGGAACGTCCTCCTGATGTGAAAGGTGCTATATAAATGCAATTTGTTGTTTGTTGTTGTTGTTGTTAGTTGCTTTGGACGGGCTATGGACCCAACCTGATGTCGAGGGTGAGGATTCACATCCAAAATCAGTTGATATTTATTGAGCGAAATTGCAATCTTTCTGGAGAGCGTTACGAATAGCATCTTTAATGATGTTGGCTGATAACGGGATTTCCCCCATTAGAATCTCACATCACCAAAGGTGCCGTGCTCAACACCAATGGAAATTCAACCCAATGATTAATTAATTATGGTCATCAACTGTCATGCAGCATCATTTTTTCACCTCCCATTCATGGTTCTACAATATCTTGTGGTGGTTCCTAAGACAATACAATACAAGCTGATTGATGGTTTGGCAATATTTTGGATGCCATGAAAAAGTTCTATAAAATGGTCAATTCAAAAACTCAGTTCAGGTCTATTTCAGCTATTTTATTTTATAAGAATTCAATTTGCTGCTAGTGGGTTTTATTGCTCATTCAACTTTTCGAAGATAGTAAACTTCCTTTTCATATGGTAAATAGCTCTTTTCAAAGTGCCGGCAAAGACATGATGGGTCGAATGGCCTCCTTCTTTGCCATATAATTCTATGATTCTATAAAATAATCAGAGTAAAAACGTTTAACACAGAAATAAAACCAATCATCTACTAGAATGGGCTTGGCTATCAATGCAAATAATAAATTATTTACCACAATTTAACATATGGGATAGGGAACTGATTACATCTTTCAGAGATTCCGCCCTAGAAACAAATATTTTATTTATTTTACACCTATATGGATCTATGAATCTATTATAATACCTAATTACCAATGAATTTTATTTACTGTCGAGTGAGATTCAATAATGTCAAATTACAACTTATAAAGTGAATGGAGGAAAGGAAATGACAAAAGAGCTATTTGCTATTATTGATGTGATATTTTTGTCACATTGAGTAATTTATATTCATTGAAGTTTTGAGTAACATGCAATCTTGAATTCAATGTCACTGGTTAACACACCACTGGAAAGACAAGAATGATTTTTCAGTGTCTGTTTCGTCAAACTTGTCAGCTTGTCATTGCATTTTCTGAAGCACATTAAAGTCAGAACCATACTGACAAGTAGACACCTTCATAATGTAAGAGAAATAAAATTGGAACCATGGAGTCAACCAGAGGTCTTGATGGCAATTTAGTTTCCATTGGAAGAATTGTCTAAGATCAAGTTGCATTCAAGTTTTATTAGAGTAATCATAAATGTGCTTCCTTATGGCATGTAGTCCT